ATGGGAGGAGGTAGACTCCTACAGAGTGCCCCTGTGGAGACCTCCGTGCGCTGGGGACCACTATATACAGCCCCCCTCCCCCCCCGCTTTATAACGGGGGACACCCTGTGCCATGGGGACACCTATATAATAGGGGACCCCTATGTAATGGGAACCCCCTTATATAACAGGGGAGGGGGTCCCCGTGTAGCTGGGAGGATGAGGGCAGCTATCAAAGCCTGTATAATAGGAGGATGAGGATACCTTCTACCATGGGGACCCCTATATTATGGAGGGACAAGGACCCCCAGACAGTGGGGACTCCTTTATAGCGGGGACATCGGAACCCCCTCCTATGACAGGGGATGGGGTCACCCTGTATAGTGGGGACCCCATAAAATGGGGCGAGGGGGGGATGAGGATACCCGCTGCAATGGGGGCTTCTGTGTAAGGAGGGATGGGGACCCCTTCTGTAATAGGGATCCCCATAAAATGGAGGGTTGGGGACCCCCTGTACCCTCGGAACCCTGTATAATGGGAAAGGGACTGCCCGTGCCATGGGACCCCCACTTATCTGAGGGTGACGGGGGACACGTGGCTCTTTGGCAGCTCGTGGACACCAGGATCGAGGCCGCGTGGCCCGAGCGGGAGCGTGGGGGCTGGGGCAGGGACTTGCTCACGGGGTTTCTCTTGCAGGTTGGGCACGAGCCACTACCTCCAACTGTTGGAAGAAACGTGCTGGGAAGGAAAGTCCTGTACCTGCCCGGCTTCTTCACCTACGGTGAGCGAACGTCCCTCCCTGGCAGCCCGAGGTCCTGCCCAAAAACAGGGCTGGGAGCTGCCAGGTCATCCCAGCCGACCTCCAGCAGCACTCCCACATCCCCTTGGGATCATCCCAAGGCTGCAGCGAGGCGTAAAACTCTACAACCAGTTGCAAGGCTGTCAGATTTACCTGCCTGTTGTTGGGGATGAGGACATGCTGGCACTGGCGTGTGTGCTGCCTCCCCTTCTCGCGGCACATTGCTCGGGGTTTGCACCATGGGTGGGGGTTTAGGCGGCGCAGGTTTGTTGGTGGAGGGTTTTGTGCCTGTTAGAGACAGCAAAGCGCCTTTCTTAGCTACAGACCAGCCCTGCGTGGAGCTTGACCTCTGCCTTGCTCATTTGGGTTGTAGATGGACCCCGAAAGGGACAGAAAATAGCAAGAAAAGGAGTTTAGAAGGAAAAAAAAGTACTATTTTTTGGTCTCTGTGGGTGGAGCAGCACAGGAGAGGCAGGTGAATCCTTGGGGGTTGCTTTCACACCGGGTTTGCGCTGTGGGGAGCGCACAGTCCTGAAAGCCAAGTTGGGCTGATCCCAAAATCGGACAGCAGTACCCCTGGGGTGATGGCGACCCAGTGCAGGAGCAGTAGGGCAGCACTGCAAGCCCATCCTGGCACACCCCAGGCTGGAAACGCTCTGGTGCTGCCCTTTGGAAGATGCATTTTGCCGAGCAGCTGTACGGTGTTGGGTGATGGAGATGGGCAGGGGCTTCCTGGCTCTGCCTGGGACAGCAGGGGATGATGGGGGCAGTTGGTACCCACGAGCACGGAGTGGGTCGTGGTCCACCTTGTTGTATCAGGGAGAAATTGGATCCGTTGGCTTTTTTTTTGGCTGAAGACCTGAGGAAGTTTGCCTGGGAGAAGGGGATGGGGCAGGAACTCAACCTGGGTTTGTGAGATCCATGTTAACCCTGAGTCTGACCCTCCCCGGGGCAGAGGGAGGAGGTGACACCACACCACACCACACATGAGATGATCCCTCCCTACCCTGGTTCGGTCCAAACCGCCTTGTAGCCCTTTCAGGTGAGCAAAACCATCAAAAGGCAAGAAGTAGCCCAAAATACTGGAGCTACCCAGCCAGGGAATACTTAAGGATTCTTTGCATCCTCTATGAAGTTTATGTAGGACCGACAGAACCAATCACTCGGGGTGGGACCGCAGAGCGGCTGCCGCGCCACGCCGCGCTCCGGTGCCGTTTCGGCCGAACGCCGGAGGGGCTGGGGGTCTCCCCGCGAGTCGGCCGGTTCCCGACTGACGGCAGCCCCGTGT